CCCAGACTGCCCAGGCCCCGGGCTTCGTGGTACCCACGCACGCGGGGGCGGTGGGCACGCTGCCGCTGGGGGGCTACGTAGCGCCCGGCTACCCCCTGCAGCTGCAGCCCTGCACTGCTTACGTGCCGGTCTACCCGGTGGGCACGGTGAGTGCGGGATAAACAGGGGCATGGGTGGAAGGGGCATGATGAAACAGGATTTGAAACTGGGAATACACCGGGGGCTGGTGGGATAAAGATACAGGGCCCGGAGACCAGGCGGTATTCCTGGGAAGAGCCCTAGAGTACAGAGCCTGAAAGGGGAGGGACTGGGGAAAGACCTGGGAATGGCGGCGGGAAGGGGGCGGGGAGGGAGAGCCTGGGGTTCTATTGGGGTCAGGGGCTGGGAGAGGGAACTGAGCCTAGAGGTCCAGAGGAGGTCTGGAAGAAGGAAAGCGCCTGGAGGGAGGGGAAGAAATGGAAGCTGGGAACCAAGGGGGATGACGGAGAAGCCCGGGACTAAGTGGATGGGGGGCGGGTAGGTGTCTGGAAGGAAGAAGCAAGGTCTGAAATAAGGCCAGGACAGCGCCGGTGGGGATGTACTTTGGCGGAGAGTGTGGATACCCCCAAGAATATGGGGGTTAATGACGCAACGAGGAGAGGAATGTCCCAGGTGGAATTAATGAGTGTTCTGGAATGGTAGTGTGTAATCAGTTTCTTTGTGAAGCGATGGGTAAAAACTGTGCTTTTAAAGCTCCCTGCCAGCTGCCGAATACTGGTGGGCAGGGAGAGGAGGGTTGGGGTAACGTCTCCCGCACCCCAAACTTTCCTTCCACAGCCCTATGCAGGCGGGACTCCGGGGGGAACGGGAGTGACCTCCACTCTCCCCCCGCCGCCCCAGGGCCCAGGGCTGGCCCTACTGGAGCCGAGGCGCCCGCCACACGACTACATGCCCATCGCCGTGCTGACCACGATCTGTTGCTTCTGGCCTACGGGCATTATCGCCATCTTCAAGGCAGTGCAGGTGCGGGGGTTGGACTCCGTTTTTCTTAGTCCCCGGGAGTGGTGGCCGTTCTGGGGATCATCTTAAAGGGAGCCTGAGGCGTTGAGCGAGGCAGCAGCTCTCTGAACCCCTTCCCCAACCCCTCCCTCCTAGGTGCGCACAGCCTTGGCCCGAGGAGACATGGTGTCGGCCGAGATCGCTTCACGCGAAGCCCGGAACTTCTCCTTTATCTCCCTGGCCGTGGGCATCGCAGCCATGGTGCTCTGTACCATCCTCACCGTAGTCATCATCATCGCCGCGCAGCACCACGAAAACTACTGGGATCCCTAAAGACGCTCCCGGCCGGGTCCCACTCTGCGCCCCTCGACCTCCCAGGCGTGTTTTGCAGTCATGCTGCGGCCCAGCACACCCGCCTCTGGGGCCGCCGGACTTCGATACATCCTAAACTCCGCCTCCACGGAACCTCTCGCCTCGCGAGCACGCTCCGAATCCAGTTCCTCAGGAACCCCTCTAAAGCCCACGCCCCTAGGGACGCCGCTTTCCGGGATTCCCGTCAAACGCCAGACCCTCAGCCCCTCCAGGCCCGCACCCTCTCAAAGTGCGGCGACCCCAGTCCAGCTCCCTCTGTCCCTTCCCCGCAGCCCGGAGTTTGGTCCCCAAAGCCCCACCTCCCCAGTAGGCTCCGCCCCAGCTCTGGTAAAACCCCGCCTGCAGGTCGGCAGGCTCCGCCCTCTTCTCCGCGGGGTGATTCAGTCCGGTGATTTGGTTTGGGACGCCAGGCCTCGCCCACGGACCGGCAGATTCTTCCCTTTCTCCCTGCAAGAGGACCGAGCCCGGGTTAGCCGCGCCCTTACGCTCACTCCTGGTTTTGCTAGTACAGTTTCGTCCCTCCTCCACCTAGGTCTCTGCCTATTTTCTTGCTAATCCCAGAACTTTTCTTTTTGCTGTTTTTGGAATGAGATGTGGGAGATTCCCGTTTTAGGACCGTTCACCTTGGGATAAGAAACATGTTCCGTTCTTTGTAAATACTCCCACCCATTCCTACCCCTGGGCAGCCGGGCAGAAGGGAATTCAGGATACAGATCTCCGAATCCCAGAAGGGAACCGGCCCGCTTCCTGCTCCCTTCAGCGGTCCCCGCCTTGTTCTGATCTGTGTGTGCGTGTGTGTGAACTTCTGAAAGACTATATTAAAAGAGACTTAGTGGATTTATCGCCCGCAATTCCAAAGACTGTGGCCCCACAAAGACCCTCCCCTTTCCTCCCCCTTTTCACTTCCTTTCATCTCTTACAGGGAAAAAAAAAGAAAACCAACAGAGACAAAAGCGGAAGGAGACAGATTTCCAGACCACAAGAAAGACACACAAATATGGGGGACAGAGAGACCTTCCCTGGGAAACTGCCAGGGAGACCTTGGGGTCCATTCTCAGTGGGCTTTCTTTCCCCAGCGCCCCTTTTCCACTCCCTGCTAGACTGGGCTTAGGGCTTTGGAGAGGGGAGATTTATAAAGACACGCAGGGGTCTATCCCCAGAATTCCAGGAAGGCAAGAGAAAAGGCAGACCATTGTGAAGAAGCTGGTCAAGGATAGGTTGACAGGGGCAGGGAAAAGATGCCAGCGCCCATAGCTATACCTGACGGGGGGGGGGGGGGGGGGGGGGGGGGGGGGGGGG